AAGGCTAACCTACGTCAAATTAACACATGTGAAATGAGATGCCTGAGAAAAGCCTCCAACTTGACCATTCAAGACAAAGTTAGAAATGATATCATCAGACAGACTGTAGGAACAACACCATGCAGCAAATTCAGTGGAAAACAAAAATCAAAATGGTTTGGTCATATACTAATAAAGCAGCCAGAACAACTACCAAAGAGGGTGTGCTATAAACGAAAAGAACTGTAGTGAAAGCAAGAGACCGCCGTAGGAGAACATGGACTGAAGATATTAAAGAACGTCTTCACCAACAAAGAATGGCAATAGCTACAGCAGCCCATAAAGCAGTGGATCGCAAACTGTTGCTCCCCACAACGCTTAACGGCAGAAATTCAAATTGATGATGATAATGTTAAATCTAACCCATAACCACATTTGATGTCGCCGTTAATGCAATTGTAATTTTATGGCTTAGGATTTAAAAAAAAAAAAAATACTGTCCAAGTTTGTTTTTTCCCTGCGTATGGTAAGCTGTCCGTAGGCCTTGAAACGCTATCCCGTGCTTTGGTGGGTCGCGAGTGTAAAAATGTTGATCAACACTGATATAAACAATCGCACAAACCTGATACAGCATTTACGTGCGCCGTCGTTATAATTTCCTATTTCCACGTGTGGGTTAGAGGGCTCCATTTTGGGGAACAAGGAATAAAACTACTATACACCTACTACCCACCCCCCCCCCCCCCCCCCCCCCCCCCCCTCCCCTCGCCCCCCCCCCCCCCCCCCCCCACTTTTCCACTCCTCACAAGAAAGCCATTTTAGTAGGACCAAAATAATTATAATAATTTTTAAGCGAGAAACTTTATTGCACCGAAGCCCTCACTGTCATTTTTGCCACATAAGTTTAAAAAAAAAAAAACCGTACTGATAATAGTGAACTATCAGCCTGAGGTAGAAATCGAACCGGTTTCTGAAGATCCCACGGTGTACACCTGAAATAGGCCTTATCAGGGCGAGGCGGGTATACTGTTTATATTTATGTTCTCAGTTGCAACCCATTGGGTGTTTGCAGGTAATCGGTTTACGTTCAACTCCCGTCACACACCGGCACGGCATAGAGACTGACGTCACGTGTCGGTAACCGACTTGAGAAAACATACAGCTAAACAGGGTGACATGCACCAGTTTGACAGATTAAGGGTTTCCTCCTACTGGTAGAGGGTGAATTTCAAAAGGGTTGATTAATCGCTCAGTTGGTTCTTTTATGAAATGCGCCCACAGAGTATGATTACATTTGGCAGGAGCATTGGTCACTCCTCTACCAGGGTTCGGATTTCTTCCAGCGGTAATGCTTGTAAGTATTAATTAATTCGAGAAGTGAATTCGCCAATAGTGAACTACCCTTTTAGAAGTTTTAGAAAAGGGGAAACATAAAGTGTAGCTTATATTATGTAGTTTTGTCCTATCACAATCGACGTCACATAGGACAAACCCATGCATGGTCAGTCTTCCGATGCACCAGCAGCATCAAGGTACCGCTACTGATTGCTCAAATGAGAAGTTGATTATAATGTCCTTTATCTCGACCTCGAATACGGCAGCGACGTGCTTCAACATACTTTACTCTGAGGTCACGCAGTTATGTTAGTCTCAGAGATTTGTCATTATCTATCTGGGATTCAATGAGGAGAATAGCCCAACTGCCTCCTAACAAGCATGCCTTCAATAGAATATATTAATAAAGTAAGAGAAAATGTATTGATCGGCACTCATAGAAAGAAGTAGAAAGATTAAAGAACACACTAGACTATAGTTACCGTGCCGGGAATTGTCACCTTTAGAAGGCGTCTGCGCCTCGCCATGAATACAAGTGCACTAAGAACATGGCCAACTAGGCACCCCGAAAAAAAGTGTCTTATTGGCTATGTCCTAAACAGAGGTGTTTTCTTCAAAGTCGGTGTGAATCTTCCTGGGAGAAAAAGTTGGGTTGGTTGTGTATCCTTAACAAGATGTTGTAGAACCAACGCTAGAATGTTTTTTGGCTGTTGTGGTTTTTTTTTTTTTTTACGTAGAGTAGTTTGCTTCTGCTTCTTGAACGGCCGGCTCTCGGTACCACTGTCGAAACAAGCACAAGACAAATAGTCTGCAGCTTGGGTCAAACTTGGCATCCGGCATAACAAAGCGCGTTCGCAACACCTAAGCCACAAACGTTGACTAGGAATAGAGGAATCAAATAGTCTGCATAAAATAAACTAGATATGTAAAACAGATGTACACGCAAAAACCCAAGTTCTAGAGCAGAAGTGAACGCAAAAGCAGAACTTTATGCTAGAGTTTTCAGTCGGTGAACGCTAGGAAAAAGAAGTGTCATGAGAAATACAACAGCAAGCAGTGGTCAGTTCTCTGAGAAGCAGGCCATAGACAATGAGATTAGTCATGGCTAGCTGGTGATGTGTAAGTCGCAGTGGTGTAGCGGTTAGACGCTCGCCTGCGGATCGGAAGGTTGGGGATTCGGGTCCCTTCGGTACTGGACATTTTGTTTTCAAAAATAACATTAGCTCCCTGGTCAACCCAGCCTTGAATGGGTGTTAGGTGGAGACCTGGGAAGTAAAAGTGGTCAGTGTGTGTCGATAGCTCTATACAATATAGGTCTAGCCTTATGTGTCCAATACACGTGCAGGCGCGGAAAAGTCTCCTTTACTTACTTTACGTAATAAGCGGTGCAATGGTTTTAAACAGTGCGCTTAACCTTTCACCAGAAATGAACTAGCGGGTATTGATCGGCTCTAAAAAGGAATAGAGAAGCGAAATAGAGATTAATAATGTCTAATTAGCTTCTACGTCGACACGGAATGACAACAGCCAATGCTGCCCATCAAGCAATGGGTCGCAAAGTGTTACTTTAAAAAATGCTTAACGATAGGAGTGTAGATGAGTGATGATGATGAATTAGCGTGTAGATCGACTCTCAAAGGAATAAAAAAGCGAAATAGAGATTGTTAATGTCTAATTAGCTTCTACGTCGACACGGAATGACAACAGCCAATGCTGCCTTTCAAGCAATGGGTCGCAAACTGTTCCTCCAAAAAAAAAAAAAAAAAATGCTCAACAATAGGAGTGGAAATGAGTGATGATGATGAATTAGCGAAACTGAACAATACTCATTTATTTCACATGAAAAGACAGGCATTGATTTTCAACCAAATAGAGATTAGGGGTGCACAGTAAGTTAGTCCTGTGTCCACACACACTTATTCTTACTGCCAGGCGCTGGTGTCCAAGGAAGCGACAGGTTCGCAACTTTATGCGGTCATTTTAGATTTCTAATTACCTGCTTAAACATATCTTATATGAATTGAGCCCCCCCTCGCCCTGAAAATATGTGTTTGAAGTTTAGCCCCTCCCCCCCCCCCAACCCCCCCCCCCCCCCCCCCCCAACTCCCGTCTCCCAATTTGTTTATTTGTATCGCCCCCGTACCCTCATTCCCATATGTGTATGTGTATGTGTGTGTATAAGTGTATTTGTGTGCGTGTACCACATTTTGGGGCTGCTGTAAAATGTAAAAGAATTGTTCTGAATAATAAAAGAAAACTTGAAGAAATGATTATGTTGAAGAAATTATTCTGTCCCTAATGTACAATTAAAGTAAATTATATCATCCTGAAACTAATAAAAAAAAAAAAAAAAAGTATCTAGGCACAGATGAGTGGAAGTTATATTGCAGAAAATAAAGAACATAATAGAAGAGGCAAAATATGCAAAATACAAAATAAAGAACATCTTATGCAATAAAGTACTGCATGAAAGGTTACAAAAAGAAATATGCTATTAAGGACTAGTTTTAACATATGGATATAAATCCTGAGCAATTAGTAAAAGCCAACCTTTCTTCGACTGCGTGTTCAGAGTTCACAACATCAATCCATTAGGAACATAAGATATATCTATCGCACTTTAGGGATCGCAGGTCGTTTCTTATTGTGTGAAAACCTGTATACAACAATGAAGGGGTTTTTTCTTCCATGTAACCTGTAAACTTCCTTGCAAAAGGTTACTACACTTGTGTCTGGTTACACACAACACCGGCTCCTGTGTATTCTATTATTATAGCCGGTATGTATGATTTCTCACGGTACAGTTAACAGCGCGGCAAACCTACAAGTTAAGGCAGCTTTTATGACAAGCGGCAAAATGTGTCAGCAGAAAAAACGACCTGGTAGGCAATGTAGTACCGGGTATGTAATCTATCTTACTGTATAATAATAATAATAATAATAATAATAATAATAATAATAATAATAATAATAATAATAATAATATTAATAATAATAATAATAATAATAATAATAATAATAATAATAATAATAATAGGCACTGGGACCTGGGGTATAAGACACGTTGAGGGCCCCCCCCCCTCTTTTCCCCATTGCAGAAGAAGAACTGAACCCCCAACCCAATTCTTTTCTGGTGGGAGGGGGCGGGAGAGGGGGGGGGGCGTCGGCCATAATCATAAATATAAGGACATCCTCCTTGTTAAGCATATGTTTATCTAATTCACATTATTTAAAATATAGTATTCATTTTTTTTCAGCAGCTTTTTAAAGCCTGGACCAAATATGGAACTTCAAATCGTATAGTGTTAAAACAAAGTTATGTGCTTTTAATTCTAATGTTACTTCAGTTTTAAATGAAAGTTGGAGAGCCATTAAAGAGCTGGAAAGAAGATGAAATGTATTTGAAAACACATATCGGAGGAAAATGTGAAACATAAAATGGAAGGCATTTAGGAGTCATTAAGAAAAAGGACACATTTCTTAGCAATCATTAGGTATCATCGATTACTTTACATTACTTTAGCAACAAAAGATGTGTAATTATCATAATTATCTTACATTTTTTTTTCAGGGAGTTGTCCTTACAAGGGAACCTACACACGTGAAATACGTTTATACAAGTCTATACTGATGACTCAGTGAAAAGTATTGGGACTGCTCTGCAGTTCTACTCATCACATTCAAATATGAGGTTTGGAGGCTGTTTCGAACTGATACTGTTTTTAGCAGCTGCATCAGTTGTTAACTCCCAAAGTGAAGCACCAACAACAGAAGACCCACGGAATTACCTGTTTGTTAAACCAAGAAATTTTGTTCTGCACCCAGCGACCAATAAAACCCGTTTCACAGCTGAAGAGAAAGCACAGATTGTGCAGATACACAATGCTTACAGAAGCCTTGTTCTACCACCTGCTACAAATATGCAAGAACTGGTAAGGCCGTTATTTTATGCGTTACTCATTTACCATTACTACCATCGCTTTATCATATTTTCTTCTTCTTCTTCTTCTTCTTCTTCTTCTTCTTCTTCTTCTTCTTCTTCTTCTTCTTCTTCTTTTTCTTCTTCTTCTTCTTCTTCTTCTTCTTCTTCTTCTTCTTCTTCTTCTTCTTCTTCTTCTTCTTCTTCTTTTTCTTCTTCTTCTTCTTCTTCTTCTTCTTCTTCTTCTTCTTCTTCTTCTTCTTCTTCTTCTTCTTCTTCTTCTTCCTCCTCCTCTTCTTCTTCTCCTTCTTCTTCTTCTTCTTTTTATTGGTATTTTTTTTAATTATTATTATCATTTTTCTCCACCTTCTATCATCCTCCTTGCTTTCCCTTTATCCTCCTTCTCCTTCTTCATATTCTTGTTCTTCTTCTTCCTCTTCCGTTTTCCCCAAAATGGAACTTAGGCCCTCAACCAGCTTACACCAAGACCTCTTATCTTTTGCTATTGACTGTAGCTCACCCTTTGACCTTCCCTTTCACCCCAAGTAGTGGATCTATAATTTGTTTCTGTTTCCTTGTATATTTGTTCTGTCATATTTTTCTTTTACCAGAAAAGATGGCAGAGAGATAATATGTTATCTGTTCTGTAAACAATTTAGAGTTACCAACTGGAAAGATAATGACGAGTCTGTTGTTATTTCCTGAAAAAAGTAATTCTTTCTTCTGTAGATAACACCATTCTGTTGTGAGTGCAAAATATTACTCTAGCAGAAAACAGCCATACTGACATGACTGTTGAGCACACGCTTTGATAACATCAGGTACTTAACTTATTTAATATTTGTGCTATACACAAAGTGTAGTTAGACTTGACAAACACCCTCTACAATTGTGATTGTCCGTAGGTATGGGATGATGATCTAGAGGAGTATGCCTGGAACACCACACAAGCGTGTACGGGAGCTCACAGCGCTGGCACAATGCTCAAGAAGTATCGACCACAGTTTCCTGATACATGGAAGACCTTGACGGCAATGGGAGAGGTCTTGTATTATAGAAACGGTGAGTTTGTTAACTATTTTATCGTCATTATCCTCATTAAAATCATCACGTTGTGCCATTTTTAAATCACAAGGGAGTCGTATTCAGTTTTTCCCCTGTGTCGTTCTATGCTGCTAAGGAGACATTATGAAGACCACAAATGCATGAGTACTGACAGAAGACAAGAAATTAGATGGAAAAAAAGATGCTTAACAGTGTGTGAAAGAGAAATAAGTTGTGGATCGGGTAAGGAGGGACGTATGAGAGGAAAGGAACGACGAGTCTATAATCAATGTGCTTCGAGAACAGTTAGCATGTATAACTTAAGAGATTTTCTGCGGGAGACGGATCATCTATAGGTATATCCGGTATGCTACAATCTCGGTTCTTCCAGAGTTTACAGCTGGTGAAGGCGAAGAAGAAGAAGAAGAAATCAGGAAATCAGTATACGCAATCCTTTTGATTTCGTATATGGAAATCCAACCGGGAACTTTTTACAATAGCCTTTAATAAATTATTGCAGCATGAGAACTTGTTCAAAAATTCGTGGGGTAATTTGTTTATGATAAAAGTGAAGGACTGTTTTCCATGCCTTGGGAAAGGGTTTTGATAATTCTGTCTTTTTCTTCTTTATCCTTTACTTCCGCTTTTACCAAAACGGGTGTCGAAGGAGATATAAAGTCCTGCTTCGTGCTCTTCTGTCTGCTTCGACCATAGACACATCGTGGTGCTGTAGAGTTTCTCTGATGTGTTTTTTTTTTTTTTACATACTAACATCCTAAATGTTGCTTTGGCGATGCGAAGGCCTTTCGTAATTCCGCGGTGCTGGGTTCAATCCCACTGCAGATGATTTGGCAGCAGACCAGACCGCCTTGCTTTGGTTTCGATTGTGGTATCAAGAGCCGATCATTGAGTTAGCAATAGCAAACTACTAACCGTAAATTTGCCTAGGAAAACCACAACAGCAAAAAACATACAGGGGTTGGTTCTGAAACACCCTGCAAAGAACAAACAAGTAAGTCTTAAACTAGCAGAACTAGACATAAGATTACAAAATCGGCAAGGCACTCAGAATGGATAAGACAAGCCATCAAGCCCTCAAATGGACATCATAAGGGAAAAGAAAACGAGGAAGACCAAGAGAGACCCAGTGTAGAACCATCACCAGGGAAGGCTTAACAGTGGGTCTAACAAACCTCCAAAACTAAAGCAGGTGTTAACGAACCGCCAGACATGCAGAGCTATGACCTCTGCCCTATGCGCCGCCCTAGGTCCAAAAGAAAAGGCTTACTAACTAACTAACTAACTAACTAACTAACTAACTAACTAACTAACTAACTAACTAACTAACTAACTAACTAACTAACTAACTAACTAACTAACTAACTAACGCTTTACTTCTACTCCTACGTCTGCTTATGCGTTAAGCAATGTTAATCATCATGAATTAATGAAACAATTCTGTTTTTTAGGGCAGTACTATAGCTTTGAAGAGGCATTGTGGATGTTTTGGGCTGAAGGAATTGACTACGATATCGTAAACCACGAGTGCACGCCTGGCAAAGAGTGTGGCCATTATCGAGTGGTAATTATACTTCATCTTTTCATCACGTCCTCTGTGTAAAAACGAATGAATAATACCGGCTTTCTTCCCAAAAGAAGACAGGGTCTTATAATAACTATTGATCACGAAGACGTCTTTTCCCCCAGGTGATTTCGTATTCTTTTGCTGTATAAAAATCAAATTAAAAAATATATATATATGAATAAAACTATACGTTTATTCAAGTACAAATACTTAATTCTTCTTCGCGTTCACCGGCTGCAAACTTCAGTTCTGGTTGCTAGTCTACTTCTGAACCTATGTCTTGTCCAAAACTTAGGTTTTGCGAACACATCTGTTTTACAGATCTGTCTTATTTGTATGCACGCTGTTGGTTCATTGTCTGTCAGGTAGATGCACGCCGACCTCAAAAGAAAACCCTAATATGTCGACTATTACGACATGCTTGTTAGAGAGGCAGTGGGTCTCCCCCCTCCCCATTTTTTTACGAAGGGACCCTGAAGGCTGCATGAGCAAAATACCTAATTATAATTTATGGAAAATTTTTTTAATCGGTAAAATGTAATATTATAATATTTTTTTTACATGTATTTGTATATTCATTGCTCTATAATTCAGTACGTCTCTCGTTTGTCTCGACTGTCAAACGAAATCCGTCCATCTAAATACGATCTTAGCTATGGCTTATATTTTGGGGGAACTGATTATAATACTAACATTTTGAAAAATCATGCTAGTGCTTTTCCTTCTTCTTCTCCTTCCTTCTTTCCCCCAATGAGGCAGAGTCTCTCAATCAACTCACGCCAAGTCGTTCTATCCGTTACTATTGCATGCAGTTCTCCCCATGTCTTCCGCATCTTGAACTTCACTCTCTTTCTCCCTTCTCCGTGTATCCTGAAGTTTTTCATTTCCCTTAATACCCCAATTATTCTATCTACATCGTACACAGTTCCAGCTTACCAGGTGCTCATTATGGAGATTTTCCTAGGTACAAGAGGTACGTCGACGATAAGATATCCTTTCGGCTTTCTTCGGTGATTTTAATGCATTTTTCGGAAAAACACAGTAGCTATTTTGGAGACCTCATTTGGCAGAGTGATCAGTAAAGGGGCCGAAACGTCTAAGCTTAGAGCCTTTGTAGCCCCAATCTTTAGTAGAGGCGACGGCTGAACCCTTTTCATGCTCCCTTCTGGGGAGGGGGGAGTGGTGGGGAGGGGGGATAGAGCCACTGTCCCCCTATCGCAAAAAGCGATTCATTAGGGGGGTTTTCTTCGAAGTCTTTGTGCCTCTGCTTGCGAATCAAGTAACGGTCTGCAATGCATACACACACATACACAAAAAGCCAGACCTGTGAAAACGGATGTGCACACAAAAACTCAAGTCCTGGATCAAGACCAAAATCCACAAATGGGTAAACACCCTAAACTTTCCGCTGGAGTCTACGCCCGGTCGGTCACATCTCTAGACATATCGGTATTAAAGAAATATGCTTGCATTCCCATAATATTTGAATGCATCAGATAAAATCATCCCACTGCATGCATGTAACGTATGAAATGTCAAAGAACTGGTTGACTAGTGATTATCAGTTAAGAGTCAGTTGACTTTTAGTTGATAGTGGGTGAGTTATCAGTTGAATATCAATTTACCATTAGGAGATTGTCGGTTGACATTCAACTGATTATTACTTGATGATCTGCTGACTTTTATTTGACTATTTTTTTTTTAATAACAAGTTGATTACCTGTTATTTATCAAGTGATCGTTTACCTCTACAGATGACTTTAGCAGCGTCTGGTGGTGTCGGATGTGCAATCAATGTTTGCAATAATTTCAGTGTTAGCAGATACCCAACGCCCTCAGTGTTTCTTTCATGCAGTTATGATGGCCAGTAAGTTATAATTTTCTTTTTCAATGCTTCAAAAAATTCAGCAATTTAAAAAATGTTATTAGTTTTACCAAGAGGTTGTATTTAAAATAATTGAAGTGACTGCAAGCGATCTAATGTCAAGGAATTCGCAAAAAACTAACAATGAACATGAAGCCATTTTACATTATGCTGTGAGCTATAGAGGTCGAAATAATGGAGAGGGAAAAAAAAAGTCACAGCTAGTTTGCAAGAACTGTAGGGATGCTTGTTAAACATTCTCACTTTGTCGCGTTTGCCAATTGTGTGTCTAAAATCGTCTAGAACGATATGTCTGATTCACCACTAGTGTGAAAATGGTCTTTAACTTTTAACATTTTCCCGCGGGGTTCTATTCTGGGGATACACGAACAGACCCACTGCCATCTTTCAAAAGGCGTGGTAGAAGGCTACTAATTAGAGGCTTTTCCCTTCCAAATAGGAGTACATCTGCCGGAGAAGTGAGGATTCAACATTCTGCATACATGTTTTGTTTTGGTTGTTAGTATCCAAAAGCCATGAGTCGTTAACCCTTAGGCTCGGTATTATGGATATCGCAACCTTTCGGCCTTGATTCCATTGTAAATACCGTAAATCTGGGAGAAATGTGGCATTTCTGCCTACCCCCGGGAGTGAACCCGGACCACAAGGAGTTCGTCACCCGCTCACCGCGCAATCCGGTTTAGCCAAATACGCTAGAGAGCCGGGCAGTCTGCATACATAAAAACCAGATCTGTGAATGAATGTGCATGACATCCAAGTTCTAGAATATAACTATAGTGCAGAAATGAATGAACAACACAGCCGGTGTACGTTAAAAAGAATGAGCTATCTAATCCCACTACCAAAACCTTTTAAAGATCATTCTAAGTTTGGTGGCTTTAGAATCATCACCTTACAAAACACATTTGCGAAGGTCTTGGAGAAGATAGTTGCTGTAAAGTTACAAGAATTTTTGGAAAGGGGGAAGCTTCTCCCAAGAGGTCTGGGAAGTTACAGGCCAGGAAAGGACACTTGGGCAAATGCGGCCACTTTTGTTTTTGACGTCCATGACAGGAAACTATGGCGGTAGGACTGGATCTCGAGGATGCTTATAACAGAGTGAGATATGACATCTTAATGACTGCAATGAGGGAAAAGGAGGTCAATCCATGGCTGGTGAATTGGGTTGCAGCTGTCCTGTATTCACGTCGGGTTGCTCTCCGACTGGGCTCATGGACCTCTGAACCATGCACTTTGGCCCCAGGACTGCCACAGGGATCCGCCATCTCGCCTGTACTCTTCAACGTGTATACGAGCAAGATTGCAAGCCTAGAAGCACCAGGAGTTGGAATGATACTGACTTTTGCGGATGATATACTTACATATAGGCAGGGGGAAGAGAGGGAGCAAACAGCCTGGGAGCTACAAGCGACAGTAGACAAAGTGACTGAGTGGTGTACAGAAATGAAGGCTGTCGTCTACCCGGAAAAGGCGTCTGTTTTGTGGTGTTCTCTGGACAACAGAATCGTTAAAACTAATGTCCCAAGTCTCACGATAGATGGTAGAGACGTCAGCAGAGAGAGCAAACTGAAGTATCTGGGAATTACATTTGACAGGAGCCTGTCATTTAAGGGCCATGTGGAGAGTATTGTGACAAGATGCCAAAAAGGACTTAGTGCACTTAAGACTATGGCTGCAATTGACATAGAGCAGAGAATACTTTTCACACTATATCAGCACCTGATCCTGTCAGTGCTGGATTATGGCCTGGGACTGCTTACCGTCTCAAAGAGTCAGATGGACAAACTAGAGCGCATACAGAACGCGGCTATGCGGGTCATTCTGGGTTGCACCAGAGACACCCCAGTGGTGTGTATGCGATACATTCTTGGTTTGCCGACGGTTGCAGGTGATGCAGGCGAAGTCATATCTCAGGGTAGCTGCAGACACAGACCACCCTCTGCATGAAGATCTGGGTGCAGTTCAGGGTCAGCGGCTGATAAGAGGGAGGTCATGGATGGCTCAGGCAGAAGACACAATCAGACAAGTTTGCATCCTTGAGAACATTAGGCGAGGAGAGGAGTGGGTCAAAGTGCCACCTGAGCAGTCAGACTTGTGTAGAGTCATAATCACGCTGAGCCGGGAATGCAGAGACTGGCCAGCAGGTGCCACAGAGGTGGAAATTCAGCAAATAATTCAAGATAATGCTCGCTCAGAGGATTTGATCATTTACACAGACGGTTCAGTGTCAAGAGGCAAAAGAAGTGCTTGGGGGCTTTTTAGCAAAAGTTAATGGTCGACGTATGGTGCAGCAGAGCCTAGCATATGATACCACAACATCCAACTTAAGAATGGATGTGGAGGCGTTCACTGCAGCTTTCCACTGGCTAGAGAACGCGACACACACACACACATTGTAATTGTAACTGATTCAGAAAGCATGCTGAGGAAGATCAGAACAGGTATGCTTCGTGCAGAGTGGCAGGCTTCGCTGCGGAGGACTCGAGTGAGGAGTATTGTCTGGATTTTTTCACCGGGTCACGCCGGTGTGTTGGGAAATGAACAGGTGGACAGACTGGCTGACTCTGCACAACTTGGTGGAATACTGCTACATGATAGGGCAGACGTGGTTAGTGCCTTGTGGGAGAGCGTGTACAATGCGGAGGAGCAGATAGATCACCACAGTTTGGTGAGATTGATGCAGTTAGGGGTGACGAGAGGTTCTGGCCGAAGCTCAAGGCTCATTTAATCAGAAAGCTACTGGCACCATTAGTATCGGAACTCTTCGCTGGCTGCTGAAGATGGAGACGGAGCGCTTATTGGAATGCCCCGGGTGCTGTGATGTCGGTTCTTGAATCAAATCAAATCAAATTAAAGAGCTATTTGGACTGTGAGTCTATAAGGATTTAGAACTGCGTGACTAGTGCAACTGTCACACCTTTCGCCATTGTGTGTTGTTGTTGTTATTGTTATTTTTGCCCCAACATTATCACACACACACACACAAAATGTTCATACATTAGGAAGGATTCGATACTCAGTAGGAAGGATTCGATACTCAGTCTCCCAAATGAAATATATCGTTCAAACCTCTTAGGCAGCGACTCCTTTTTAAGGTGTTATATAAGAATATTTTTTCTCCGTGTCTCTAGGTATCTAATCTACTACAAACCATACAAGGTTGGTGAACGGGGTTCGGACTGCAAGAAACTGGGTTATGACTATGAATACTATCGAAATGGACTTTGTAGTACGTACTGTTTTCCTCCTTCGTCCACGCTTTTCAATCTATTTGCCTTGTATGCCCTCTCTCTCTCTCTCTCTCTCTCTCTCTCTCTCTCTCTCTCTCTCTCTCTCTCTCTCTCTCTCTCTCTCTCTATCTATCTCTCGCTCTCAAATGACCTGACATAAAGTTCGTTAGTTGTCCATTTCAGTGACTGTCTATCCATAAATGTGTCTTTCTCTCCGTATTTATAATCATCCATTCATAAATTTTGCTAATCTGATTGTCTGTCTGCCTATCTTTCTGTTTTCTAAATCAAAATGAGCGAGCCTACTAATTTCTCCAGTATAAACACAGCATATCTCTTCATCCGACTTTATTAATTCTGTTGCTATGGTGTATGTATCGCATTCTTGTAATACTAGATAAATTAGGCCTCTGGCTGTTGTGTGGTTTTTCTAGGCAAATTTACGTCCAGTAGTTTGCCATTGCTTCCTGGACGGTCGGCTTTCTTGATACCACTGTCGAAACTAACGTAAGGCCCATGGCCCGCAGCTAGGATCGAACCCGGCATCCCGGCATTACGAAGCGTTCGCATCGACTTAGCCACAGAGTCGACGGATATTTGATATAGTTTTGAAAAATAGCTCGCAACATGGGGGTTTATTTGTGACTCGGGGATTGCAGGTCGACCCAGCTCAAAACTGGAGCTAGGAATCGTCTTAGTATTTATCAGTTTCTTTCAAATACCCCCCACCCCTGGGGGGAGGGGGGGGGGGGCGAGCTG